ATGTAGTCTGAATTTCTCTGATCCCTTTCATCAAAGACAAGTGGAAAAACAAATTAGTGACTTGGGGCTGTCATACCTGTTAAATGTTGTCCACATTCAGTCCTTGTGTAGGAAAGTAATAATTAACTTGTAAAAGGGAAACAGGAAAAGTTTGAAATCTTCTTGTGTCAACGTTGAAAATGCAAGAGCTGTCAGTGCACACTGACAGGTCGTGGGGCTGCTGTGTATGATCAAGAAAGGAAAGGGTAATGTCAGGGCTTGATAGACCCCTTGTCTTCCCTGTAGATCGTGGGGATTAAGGTTTGCTGAACCATTAAGTTTTGGATGATGTTACAGAGACATTTTCTGCTCTTTTTGAGTTTTATTTCTGCTCTTCATTAAAACAATACAATTATTTTTCTTCATTGAAACTGTGAAATTATTATTTAATCCTGAAAAAATATCCTAATTCTGTATGGCTGAGGTCTTGGCAACTGGATATAATTCAGGAATCTTTATTTCATAACTTTATCCCCAAGCTATTTTAAGTAATATCTTTCTGTGTTAGATGGAGAAGCAAAGGCCTGTAACTCAGAGCTTTGGTATCTGATAATCCAAAATAAAAATTAAAATCTTATTTCAAATATTGGGCAGTTGAAGTTTGCTGACAGAGTTTTTTGTTTTGTTGTATTGATGTAAAATAACATTATAAAAATGAGAACTAAGAGAAAGGGAGCCTTTTCCCTCATCCAGCGTAGCTTTTATTGTGTTGTTTGATCTGAGGATATCTGTTACCAGACCAGGCACAGTACCAGCATTTGTTCAGTACTATGTGGTAGGTGCAGGCTTGTGATTGCATCAATTTACCTACCTTTATCCCCATGGATTGGGAGAAGTCCAAGCAGCACAGTTTCGTAGTGAAGCTCTAAGCTGTGTGTGTTAGCTGTCACTGTCATATGATACAGGTTTTTTTTTTGTGTGGTAGTTGAATGAGTCGAGCTGATGGGGAGAATGAAGGATAAATTTTACTTTAAGGACAGTTCAGAATTTGCAGCATCATTCAGCACACTTATGTTTTCCTTGGACAAAATGGGTTTTCCTCAAACTGTTGTTTTTTTATAACAACCTACTGCAAGATCTACTGGCGATACTGAGACTTGAAATGTATCTTTCTTCCATCCACACAGTGACTACTCGTGTGCTCAGTTCCATCTGGAAAGGATATAATTGAATCCTTGTTTGGCTCCTTTAATTATCTTTTTGCAAAGTCCTTGGCTGGGAATTTTGCCGCTTACAATGCAAATATTCAAACTTAAGAGCATAAACTGTGCTTTCAAAGAGCGTTTTTGTAAATCTTTTATCATTTGGTGTTTTTTCAGAAGCAAACATGAGAACTCCTCAATGAACATGGTTTAATTTTTTAAATCCTCAGAGAAGAATTTGTTTTCTTGGAGGTTGTTGTTGCTAATTAACTTTGTTAATTAATCATGTTATAGGGATGAAACATGCTTGATTAAAAATAAAGCTGTATAGCAACAAAGTAATGCTACTGATTTTTCCTATTTAAAAGGAAAGATTAAAAAAACATGATTAACTTTGAAGCTGCGTGTCAAATGTTCTTTGCATTCGAAACATCTGAAAGGCTAAAGCAGCTAAAAGCTTATTATTTTTGCAACTCAGTCATAGTAAAATGCTTATTCAGTTGTAACACCATATTAAAATCTGAGAGCTGAGAATAGTTGCTGAAGGTGCTGTCTTAATCAAAACTGACTGAAATGGTGGATAGTAACCAGCAGGTTTATTTGGTTGTGCTTAGACATGAAGGCGCTTGTTCTCTCTTGTCATGCATCTTGCATGAAAACTTCCAATGCTGTAAATTGGTGTTAAATGCTGTTGGCTCATAACAGGATCCTGACCACATTTCTCACCCATTATACCGCCATATGTTTGTATAGAGGTAGTGGGAATGGCTCACTGTGGGTGATGGGCCAAGTGCATCACAAATGAAGCTCCCTGGAATGGGCTCAGAGATGACTGTGGTCCATAGGCATGCTGAGCCTCTGGCCTGCGTCCTGCCTAGATGAAGGTAACCATCTGTATGGTCTGGCTGTGAGTGTGAGCTCCTTCACCTGGGGAATGGAAGTGGGAGAGAGAAGACGTGCTGGGACCTATTTGAAGTGGGAGCACAGGGTTTGCTTGCCTCAAAGGTGACTTATTTTTAGACACTGTTGGAACAGATGGCTCTTCTGTATCCTCTATTGCAGATTTTTTTTTTTCTCCTGTTATAATCAGGTTTCTTTTTAATTTTCTGCTATTGAAAAGTGGTTCTTTTCCTAATCGCAGCAATGTTATAAACACAGTATGAGAATCCCAGTTTTTGCTCTCCTTCATTGGGGAAATTGCTAAGGAAGCCCTTTCTGAACCTCAGAAATCCTCCAGGATCCTCACCTGGAAAGGGAAGGCCTGGCGTTGTCAGGAGGAGCCCTCTTTGTTAATGGAGCTCAAATGGGATTTACTCAGATAAAATTCCAGAATTCTAGAAATGTGGAACTGATTCTGTATTGGAGGTAACACGAAGAGAGGAAAATAGGAGTATTCCTCATGTAGGAGGAATAGTGAAATAAATCTCTCCAGACCACTGGCAGGAAGTGCGTGGAGGAGTGCTTTGCAGGGTTTATTTTTGTTTATTCCTCCCTCTCTCCTCCCCTTCATCTTTTCTCCTGAAATATCTTTAGGCATTTGTTTTGCAATTAAAAAGTCAAAAACCCCCTCAAAGGGTATACTTGCTTTTTCCACTAAAACATATTAGGGCACTGAAGCGGTACAAAAATGCAATGGGCTATTTCAAGCAGATGAACTAAATCTTTAAAATAGGATTAACCAATTTTATAATTTCCCTGTGATAGTATCTGAGCCTGGAAGGGGGAGAGCAGTACGTGTCTTTCAGAAGCTGTTTTAGGATACTGGGGTTAAGGTTGCACTAATGCCACTTCTCAATATTCAGTAATTTTTCACATGCGCAAAAGAGGATCTTGATGTAATGCTGGAGTAACACAAATACCACTTCTACAGGGCTGTGGCTGTATTGTCTTTAGGTTTTGCCAGTATTGAGTGGTTTCATCACTGTGTATGTTTACAGATCACAATATTAGCAATGCCTGGTATTGTGTGACAACCGTATTTGCAGGGTGCCACCAGCCAGTTGCATGGGGAGTGTTGTGGGGGTGCACCAAGCATGTGAGGGCAGGTGACTGTTAAGGAGGCTTAAATACCACATTTGCTACTGAAATGGAGGGGGAGGACTGGTTTAGTGACCCAAGCATATGTTGAGCTATGGCAGAGTGACATGAATGCTGTTATTCCTGCATGAATTAGTCAGATTTGTACAGGAAGGGGTCCTGAGAAATGGTTTAAAGGCTACTTTTCTTGCAAGAGCATTTAGCTTTTCATGCTGGATGAGAGTAACCCAGTCAGTGACAGGAGTGGTTACAGAACCTGAGGAGATCATCGGCCACTGGGTTGTCCCTCAGCCACAGCTGGGGACCTTTGTAGGTCTCTGAGGGCCGTGATTTTCCAGCCCCTTTTCTGCTGTAGGAGCTGGAAGATGTGTCTGTGCACTTTCAAGACTCTATACATACAGTGGACAGCAGGAAGGGTTTTTTTCCTGATCTCACAATGTCTCAAGGCCAGGTAGCATGGCCAGTGGAATCATGGCTGGAGCAATGGTGAGCAGTGCGGGGCTGGTCCTGCTGGCCCTCAAACAACACAGTTGCAAAAGGGCAGCTGCTGCTTGCCCACAGCCATGTCTCAGGAGGCCTGAGCCATTGGCATGCTTACATTTACCTTATACTGAGTAGTCACCTGGGCAAAGATTTTATATATCCCAGGTACGTGCCAGGATGCTGCACTGGGATGGTTCAGGTCTTTCTTTCCAATTAGATCATGTAGAATTTCTGGGCAAAACACCAATAAATGGAAAAATTCAAACTTGATAATGGATATATTCTGATTTAAAACCCCTTGTCTTGGAAGTTTTCAAAGCTGATCATCTTCTGTAAATAATTTATTCATCTGCAGATTTATGTTTCATTGTGCACTGACAAATGCCTCTGACGTTTCTGCAGGGTGCTTTTCTTTCAAAAATGCATATCTTCTTTAAAATAGCCTGCTTGAAAAAGTATGTTTGTTTTTCTTAAATCCTTTCTAAATATGGTAGGTTACTTAAGTCCTGCTTGTTCTATGAAGCGTTTTCTGCTTTACTGAGCTTCCAGAGCAAAATCCCTTCTTCCTGTACCCTTCCTGCAGTGGTTGGTTCCTGCACCACCTTCCCCTGTCTAGGTCTTGCAGTTCGCAGACTTGGTACTGCTACGTTTTCCCGCTCCATGCACTGAAAATCTCTTCCGTTTTGTACGCATATTAAACCCTATTTTCATTAATATTTTGCAACTTTTCAGGCAAAAATGTGTTGCGACCATCAAATCCTTAATTAAGCAAATTAATTGTGACTTAAATCAAGCCAAACATTTGGGTATGGATCTCTTATGAAAAAAGGCTAATTAAAGAAATATTTGGTAGTTGCAAAATGCAGCACTGTGTTTGGGAATAGAATAGATTTTTTAAATTTCATTTTTATGCATACATTTATTGATGATCTAACAGCCTTCTAGCTGGTGTCAGTGTAGTCAAATAAAGCTGTGTGCAAGGCCACAGGAAAATAAATCACACAATCTGATTTGCACAGTCTGTTTCCATATTGCCAGCGTGATGAGCTACTTTGTTTTTTGAATGGAGCAAATGATATTTGCGTCCAGTTGATTTATTGACAGTTCTGTCAAACTGCCACGAAATGAAACAGTAACAGAACAGCTAAATATTGCAGAGAAACATGGCGAGAAGAGCAGGGTCTGCTGGGAGGGTTGCCTGAGTGATGTGCAGGAATGCCGCCCCGATAGGGATGTGGTGCGTTCCCTCTGCCAGTGAAAAATGAACTGCTATTCACATGCTTTTCTTTCCATAGGGAGAAGCTGTCTGTGGCTCGTCTGCAGCGAGAAGTTGCACGAAGCAAGAGTGAAGGAGCAATGGTAAGCTGAAGCAACTCGCTGCTTTGCAATTCTTAACTACTTCAGGCCTTAGGTATGTTTTGATTGCTGAAGGTGGTCACTGAGGCAGTAAGACCGTCTTGGACACAATGATGGGTTGCCAGTGATGTATTCATTAATCTGAGGAAACTCAAGGTTCTATCTTGGCTTCTTTGGAAAAGCTCTGGTAGGGAAAAGCTCTTTTCTTTTCCCTGCTTCTGGTGCTTACAGGAATTGAAAGCAAGACAAGCACGGAAAGGCAATTTCAGATCAAAATGCAGTAGATTTAGTTGCCTGTTAAATCTTAGCCAGCCACAGAAAAATGGAGGAATACATGCACAGAAGCTTAAAAAATTCCCTCCATCTGATAAATTTGTAAATCATATAATGCTCCTTATAGCCTCATTTTTCATGTAGCAATTTATGAGATTAGGCTTGTGAGCAAAAGTTGAAAAAGGAGATTTTTGGTTAACTGCAAGCCTTAATTTATAGAGTGCCTTATCTATTCAAAACAGTTTTTTTAGGAGCCAACATGTGCTGAGTGTGCTTAATTACTTAATATCTAAGGAACTTTTCCCATCTGTTAAGGAGTTTGTTTGTCCCTGTCTTCAGATAAAATGTCTTGGGTTTCCAGAGGATAAAGCAGATGAGTTCACAAACCTTAAAACCCAAACCAGTCCCCTTGAACATACTCGTGAAACTGCTACTCATTTGAGTGAGTTGCATAGTTGGCCATGAATGAATCTGGTCCAAAGTTTGTTTGACTTGGTGGGGAGAAGCTGTAGAGGGTCTCTGGGAAAGTGGATGCTGTTAGCTGTGTGTTGCAAGGTCCTTAAAAATCTCACCTGCCTGCAATGAATGCATTTTATAAATCATTGTTAGCTATCAATAAAATACAGTGAGATTTGGAGGGACCTGAGTGACAGGTAAGAGCAATCATCTCTGGAGCTATTGCTCCCACCATGGCTGCAGGTGGCTCCAGCAGAGCTGGGGGTGCCTTGCAGAGGGCTTTTCTGGGACGGTGGCCTTTAGGCTCTGCATGCCTTGTAGAGAAAGGGAGGACACGAGCAGCATGTGCCAGGCACACGAGTGTGTGACTTGCCCTAGCCCCTGGTGCATGCCCAGCATAACTATGGGAGCTGCTGCCCTCTCCCATCCTGACACCACCCCAGTGTACATGCCCTTGGGTCTGCAGCATGGCTGGGTTGGCCACAGGAAGACTTTGAGGTGGGGCTGAAGGAGTCGGGAAGACTGGCCACTGGGTAATGTGTGTGTGTTGAGGCAGAAGGCCTGGAGGAATTGAGAAACAAACTTTTATCAGGTTAAGTTACAAGAGTCTGTGACTGAGAGAAAAATCTTGCTGCCTCCAGGAGGAATTTTGGTGGAAGAAGAGGGGCAGAGATCAGGCACTGGATTTGCAATTGCATTTTCATTTTCAGTGTAAACAAATTTCAAAATCTGGGAAGAGCTGTTTATTTGAAGTGCTTCCTTAATTTTTTTTTTTAAATTAGCTTTCCCTTGGAGGCATAGAAATAATATCTTGAGTGTAAAATATATTTAGTGGGATAATCCAGGACTTTATGAAATGAGCAATATTGATTAACCTTCCAGAGCTGGTAAGGCTTTTGGTATATGTGCCCTTCTTGAGATCTCATCTCATGAGAGTCAGACACTTCTTGTACCTTTTCCTGTGCCCCATTAATCCCCTAGCCCTGCTAACCAGAGTGCAATTTTGTATAATTTGTTGAGAGGCTGAGTGTTATATCCCGTTAGGAGCTGATAGGTAGCTCTCCAGGGGTGCAATCTTCCCCCAAGGTAAGTACTAGGTAGTTTTTCCCCTCTCGCCTGTGGGGTAATTTCCACAAGTATCCTGCTACAACAGCCAAGGATAAGTGCACCCATAGAGACAATTGCTTTGAAGCTGTTGATGTATGGAAACTTCTTTGTGTCTCAGAGCTCAGAACTGGTGATTTTAATATGAAACACAGCAGACATTAATTAACATTAATGAACTTGCTTGACTGTGCGCAGTTTGAGAGCAGTAAGGGTCCAGGAGCTGGAGTGTTTGAACACAGGGGAGGCTGGGGATGAAGTAACTTCTTAGCCTGCATTCTCAGGATGTGCAGTAAGGAGCCTGCAGCATATACCAGATCCATAGTTTTGGGGCAAATACTTTAAAAAGATCCACAGCAAAATCTTTGTGAGGGCAAACAGCCCAGCTTGGCCTTTGTCAAACAGCGAGGCTTCCTCTGTAGAGCGTACCTGCAGGGTACCAAACCCCATGTCTGCTCTTTCGGTGTCCCATCGAGAGCATTTCTCATACCAGGCATGAACTGGGGCAGAAAGTACAAGGAGCTGTGCTGCTCTGCTGCTGCCCTGCCTCCCAGGAACTGTGCAAAGCATCACACAAGCCTTTTGCAGGGCGGCACCTTATGTAATACCTGCTTGTTTCTTGCTTCTGAAATAAAAAGGAAGAAAATTATTTGGGTTTTGCAGTCAGAGATCGGTCATGAGGGTAAGAGTGACGATGTTATGTCAACCCAGGCTCATTTTAAGGATGACCTGTCCCTGCGTGTGCTGCCCTGCCACTGGCATGCTGGAGGGTTTGCCCTGACCTTCCTGGTTCCCATTTGACACCTACGTGATCGCAGTGTGAGAGAGCCATGGGACTCTTCCCTATTACCTTCCCAGCACAAGTCAAGGGGAGAAGATATTATTTAGGATTTGCTTCCCTACATGGGAGGTCACATCAGTTACCATTTGCTGTAACCTGCAACCAGCTGTTGCCTTTTTGCAAGTGGTGCTTCGAAGTGATGGGTAGGAAAGGCTCCCAGTGCTCGGGTTCACCCAGCATCTCAGGAACCGCTGCAGTAAGGTGGACACATACGTAAAATCCACAACAATGAATAAATACAAAGCATGTGCTGTAGAAATTGCTTACACTGTGGTATCTTTGTACATCTTTGTACATCTGTATACATAATATATGTGAGTGATGATGAAATGCATGTTTATGGTGAGATGTTTTCCCGAGGAGACCTCAGCTGAAGTTGAAGATCAGGCGCTATGTCCCGTCTGCAGGACTAGTATGTCTGCTCCATGTCAGTCCTCATAGGAAATGGGGGTTTTAGTATGTCCCACAGTTACCTTTCTCATGACTGATTTATTGTTGGAAGTAGCGAATTACTGGAAGGTACTATAGAAGATAAAATGAAGATTCTTAATTTCAAAATAAATGTTTATCACCAAGAATACAAATTACCTGTGATATGTTTTTTTCCATATGATTGTATGAAAAATCTGCTACCTTCTAGGTAGGATTGAGTGAGTATGAATTTATAATTACTTGAATTAGAACTGAACAAATTCAGGCTATGAATCCCATATAGTTGCTTTGGTTTCTTTATTTCATGAACCATCACCAGTAAGTATCGATTATCCATTATCAAAATGCACAATTACTTACTGCCAATCCATGAATATTTCAGCAGCGTTGAGTCTAAATTGCCGTTTGGCTCTTCCTGTCCCTTACAGACTTTAATTTCTTAATGGGCATGTTCACAATTTTCTCAGTCATTTTTCTTTTGACTCATCAAGGATATTTTACCTTTTTGTAAAGGAAAAGAAAATGATCACTTCTTATGTGTACAGTTCTTACAGCACTTGATGGAGAGTGTGAAGGTGTCTGTGGTGACAGAGACTCCATTATTAAAATGAGCAGCTCTCAGAACAGATCACAGGTTTATTTCAAAACATAGCAAAGACTGACAACTGCTTTAGTCATCAAAGTGTTTTTTTTTTTGAGTCCATTACTTTGGACCTTTAGGACACAGAATGAGACTAGGAAAAGTGAAAAGTGTTCATTTCTGTGACATTGTCTTAACAAGTGAGCAGTGCCAGGTTATGAAAAATATGAGAGTAGAGCTCTTGTGGCAAGAATAAGTGTTGTGTTAGCAGAAACTAGATTAAAAGCCTAAAATGAACTGAAAGTATAAACAGTTATGTGTTAATAACTTTGAATTCATTTAATAATACACAGAAAAATTAATTTTTTTTAGATTTGGTACCTTTATTTACGTATATGTTACACAGCTTTCTTTGTACTTCTCATCCAAGCCCTTTAATTCTACTCTATTTTCCATTAGTTCAGTGGCCTGTAACCTATACAAAAGAAATTGTACCACTCTGGCAATTTAGCTGTGAAGGTTAAAGTGAGATGATATTGCCTTTTATATCTACATGGGTTTTGCTTAGGGTGGGCCCTAGGCTCTGATTTACCATGTGTCCTGCTGCGTCTTTAAGTGATGCAAAGTGATTATCAGGGACTCTTCCTGGTACCGGTCTATTCCACACCTGCACCCTTTTGTTAAAAACCCACCATGTTAAGTGAATGTGAGGTCCCCACTGAATAGGTTGCCACCCTCTGGTAATCCTTCTGCATTAGATTGATTTATGAATGTATCAGATTCTTTGTTAGCATGTAAACCACTAATTAATTTAAAGCTCTCTGTGGAAAAATTAAAGCCCTGGTTAAGGCTTTCAACAGGCTCAGATGGTGCTAATAATGGAAAACCAAGTTATATTAATGAGTTTTGGTGCGATCAGCACAATTCTTGCTTCACAAACAGTTTTTGCTGTAAAACAGTAGAGACTGCAAGTTTTAAAATAAAGAGTGGAAGAAGTAAAAAGGAAAGGCAGAAAAAAAATTTGCAGCGTCAGTAAGATACCCCATTAGCACTAGGAACTGAGTCACTTCTGCTTGTTACAACTTTCTTAAATGTAATGTGTTTCGATATATGTAACAGCCTCTTAAAGAGCCACGGGAAGTGCAAACCAGTCTTTTTTCCCTGTTGAAACCAAAGTTGTACTGTAATCAGTTTTGAAAAGATCTCTGCCTCTTTTCCTCATCATGCGGTGCTGAACTGGAGCTTTCAAATGGAGATGGACATGTTGAAGTGCAGAAAAGGTCTTGGTTGAAATCATGTAAAAATTAGGCTGACCAT